TTCCGTGGATGATGTTCCAAACGTACAACTAGGGACATTCGAGGAGGAAACACCGATGGAAGAGAATTGCAAAAACGATGCGCCGAGTGGTGAGACGCACAATACAAGATTTAAAAAAAAAAAAAAAAATACGAATATACAAGTTTATTGTGTAGATAATCTTAGCTATAGGAGTGAGCCTGTGTCAGCCTAACGTACAAAAAACCGCTCAAAACTATTGCTTGGACATAAAGTGGGAACCTGTGGCGCACCTCCATCGAGAGTTAGAATAATGAACAAGACTATTTGATCACAAACATTGATTATTCAAGTAAATGGATATAGGATATTGGCTTCACAGGGCAAACACCGTTGCATGAAGCTGTCAAACAGAACGCTATTTTTATTGCAAGACTTCTCAACAAGGAGCTAGAGTTTCTCTGAAGTATCTATTCTCTCCATTCATCGAAGGACTAGATAAATGCGTAAGTGATGAAGTAAACGAGGTCAACTGTTAAAAGGAAGTGTAATATGTACAAGAGTGTGATAAAGATGAATGTCACTGTGGTCCGGCTCCAAAGTATGGTCGCCGCAAAGTAGGGTCATTTTCAAATTGCTTCCCATCTTTTACTTTACGGTGCCCGGCCACAGGTCAGAGACTGCCATGGAGCCACGGCAACTCAGCAGCTACGTGCGATGGACATTTTGAATTTATGTCGTGGTGGCTTTAAGGGCTGTGGCGGGAAATGAAACAATGCAAGATCCAATTAGTTGGAGGGCCGCCAATTTACTATGTATGTACATGAAAAACATTTGGTAAATACGACTCTTGACATGGACCATAACAACGGTATTAAGAGTACCCTGGGAGACGAAATTTTATTGTTCGTCTTGCTTGTAACCGAACTGGCTGAACTGGCAAAAGAGGGACAGTGGCAGCTTTAATTTAGGAAGGGCGAAGGGACAATAATGGAATTGTAAGAACCAGTCAAATGTTTCTAAGACTAGTTTATTTAGCTTGATCAAACAAAACAACCACTGACGTTTGCTCTTTTTTCGTGAGAAATTCTGTATCGTCAAGTGGTGGA